CCGAACGGCGACATAAAAGGAAAACTTTCAAAACTCTTTTTGGCGACACCAAGGTCTATTCACAAGAAATGACCGATATGTCAGTTATTTTGGCAAAACCATAAAAAAGGTCGTCCAAATCCGTGATGTACCAACCCTTGTAAGTTTTCCCGTTCTGAAGTGTTACACAAACTTTACAAATTTAAGTATTCATATATCGTGACGGATTTACCTGATTATTTGTATCGTACAACCTTTTGGAAATGAGTATTTGAATCTGGCATTTTTTTACCAATCAAGCAATGATCGAAGACTTTGTGCTTTTCTTGCTAGTTATCCATTAATTTAGGATAAATTTATTACAGCTTTTTTCTCTCTCGATAACTTTAAGAGCAGATTAGACATTCTTTAAAAAATTGTAATTAAAAATTGCTTCCTTCAAGTGTATTTTTTTAAACAATAGTTTATTTTTCATTGTTATTTTTAACTTTTTTGAGTTAATTAATATTTATGAAAGGTATTGGTCGAGATAAAAAAGTCAGTGTCATGAGCGGGATTCGAACCCACAATCCTCGGCTAAATACGCCGCTGCTCTAACACTTGAGATATCGTGACTTTTATCTCGACCAAATACCTTTAATAAATATTAATCAATTGTAAAAAGTTAATTGGTCAAGCGGACCACGAACTGTAATGAAGTTTTTTAACAACAAGAATGAAGGTAGGCGATTAACAAAACTTATTCAGGAAATTGTCACTTAGGTCGTTAGGTATTAAAGATATTTGGGAGTGTCGCCCGTGGAGATATGTGGACAAGTAGTTGCGGGCGTTAATTAAATTTCATCCCTTGTAAAACCATGAATTAGCCCTGGGAAATTACGTTAGCCGCCAGCCCGGCTGGTCAATTAGGTTAGTTATGAGTGAAATGAGGAGAGGAACGTGATATAGAGGACACATCCCTTGAGGCTTCGTTAGGAGGGCAGCTCCAGCCGGCCATCAATTCACAAGGGCCGGCTACAATTTTTCAGCCCTTATTATCGCCCTGAGATGGGATATACGACCGGGCGATTCATTTCGGGGAATTCGAGACTGAATCGATTGCCGCATTAGGGAAAGAATAGTGTTACCCATTTTACATGGATTCAGGAATTTTCTTGATATCCGAACCCCCCAGGGTGACCAGGACTATTTGTTGTCTGCGGCGAAGGCGTTGAATTTTAGTTGCATAAACTCATAAAGTAAGGTGGTAACCGAAGTACCAAAACCATTCAATACGATAGTGTCACATTAATAATATGGTCAACATGAAACAAAAATAGTCCTGTAAGTAATTAAAAACAACGTGTATGTATGATGTAAATCAATAAACATCTTTGCATTAAGTAATTATTATGTTTACCTTGGCGAACTCTTCAGATGACGCACATGTCAGAACCAGCAAACAGTTCAAATGATGTTGATATTTTTAACGTGCCTTCTGACGTTGGGTCTGCATATCAAAAAGTTTGTTATTCTTGTACTTTTCGTTAAAGCATAATTTATTTATTAAAAATTTTACAATAATTATTGAGATTGTTTTATCGGCAGATCAATTGTTTTATCGTATTTTGATAGAATAATATCAAGTTCGCATTTTCTAAACTCTTCAAAAATTTACATGGAAAATAAGCATACACTTCTTTAATTTCATAACAACATTATTTTATTATAATAGGTATTTTATTAATGCAGTATGTACGAATTGGCTTTAGCTAAGTACATCGAAGTGCAGATGGTCTTAAGAAAATCAAATACGACGAATCAAACGTTATTTTTCTAACACAGTCTCTCTCTCTCTCTACATATATACATATAAAGTGAATGTTCTTATGTGTGTTAATGATAAAAAAAACTGCTGAACCGATTTCATGAAATTTTCACATTTTGTTTTTATTAGTGCCGGGCGGGTTTAATAACATAAAGTAAGCATACAAACAATGGGCCTCAAGAGTGACAAAAAGAAGAGTTTTTTCAGGAATGTGTGGCATCCATATTCACATCTGTTTTCTCAGCTGTCAGCTGTCCAGTCAGGCGTTCGGCTCCCGGTGTGATACGCGTCTTTCCAATTCCGATTTGAAGGAGGGGACAGTCAATAGACGCAAAAATACGCTAACACTTTATAGTCGCAAAAAAGACTGAATCGGTTATAGTTGCAAAACTACTGATACAATACAGTCGCAAAACTACAGACTTGGTTTCGCTGATATAACATATCCTTAATATAGGCAGCAGTGGTGTAGGTAGGACAACGAACTACCGGCTTGTGACCTTAACGACGACTCTTCCACTTAGCCAAACAATCAGAATTGAAAAAAATGCTCCAAGTGAACGTTTATTTAGTGTATAAAGATAAAGACTATAAAAGCCGATTTTGTGTTTCCGAACTCGGTCAGTTTAAATTAAATAAAATATGATACATAGTTCTGTTGTTTTGCCAATTGGATTTATTAATTTGAATTTTATTAAATGTGAAGTTGCCAAGTTCCGTAATGCTCAGTTTTTCAATGTTTTGTAATTAATTGAGACGATTTCGCTATATTATGAATTATGTTTAATTTTACATTCTATCTTTTTGACACTGCTGTTGGTAGAATTCCTGTTGGAATTCCATTTTCTGGTTGTTTAATATGCCTCGAAAACGATGAAATATTGGAAGTAGTACGAATATTGCCATGAGAATTCCAGATAAAAGATAGCAGAAGGAGAAAGAGCACAATGAAATGAACAAAGCAGATTTCAAATGCCACACTCACGTGCTACTAAATCGTCAAAACATCACGAAGCTCGAAATGAAGCAAGTCGAGTAAGAATTAGAGAATTAAGACAATCTTTGCCCTTGTGATCAAAATGAACTGGGTGACAATAGTCGATTATGCATGCAAATGAATCGAATAAATCAATTAATAAATCCAGATGGTATTGCATTTCAGTATAATTCGGATTTTGAATACAATTTCCATCCAGTCGTGGTTGCTGAAGGTATGAATAAAGTTTTCACACGTTTAAACTTTAAATTATGTTCATTTAATTTATATATACCCCGTCAAGCAATTGAAATGTGTCTACTCAAAATTATATTTAAATTAATTAAGGTTTTGGTTGAGATAAAAAGTGAGCGTCACAAGGGGGATTCGAACCCACGACCTTCGGCTAAATACGCCGCTGCTCGATCACTTGAAAATGGCAAAAAGGAGGGAAAATTCAAAAGGTGGAGTTGAGATGGGAAGTTAGTGTCCGAATGGATCAATGTCACGATAACTCATGTGGTAGAGCAGCGACGTATTTAGCCGAAGGTCGTGGGTTCGAATCCCCCTTAAGACACTCACTTTTTTATCTCAACCAAAACCTTAATTAATTGAAAAGAATTTATTTGGTCAAGCGGAACACGAAACCTAATAAAAATATATTTAAAATAAAACTTTATATGATCCCTTGGGCAACGCACGGGTTATACGGCTATATATACTAAAAATGTGCACAGAAAAAACAATAGATAATCTTATAGCGAGTGAATGGTTTTTTAAGAAACAGAATGCGTTGTGGGATGAAATGACCTAAAACCTGTTTGCAGCTCCCCGAGCCCAACCACGGTGGGTGATTATCGATGCCTGTCGGTAATTTACTGTCAATTACAAACTGGAATTGCTGGTGAAATGCGAGAAGTGATACGCTCAACTCTGCACATGTGTGTGTTTATGCACAAACATGTGCGGATAAGCTTATTTAAATCAACAAACAGATACTGTTATAGATCAGGATGAGGTAGTCAATTAACTTAGTGTAGTAGGTTTTTCTGTTTATATTAATTTTGTAAGTTTTGCATTGTGATGGTTTTGCTGTAGTATGAGTTATGTTTAATCTTAAATTCCGACTTTTTGACACTCTTGTAGTATTGCAATTGGCTGCATTTTAAATTCTACCAATACGACAACACTTTGTTCGTAGAATAATAATAATATTCTTACTAAAATTCAAAAGAGGGGATGTGCCGATATAACATATTCCAATGATACCAACATAAGTGCCTTTCGAATTCAAATGATAGCCATTTCCAATTAAACTGGTTTTTCCAGTAATGATAAAGAAATCGCAAGGTCAATCAGTGCAATTATGTGGGTTGAATTTGAAATATCCGTAGTTTTCTTATGGATAATTATACCTTGCATGCTCCAAGATGGGATTTGTTGTTTGTATATGTGCCAAATGGAATCACCAAAACCAGTGTATTTCCAAGAGAATTGGAAAGAATTTAACGGTCAATACAACAGTACTTACAATTTGATAAAATTTAATTCAAAACAAAAATAATATTGTATATGTAAATATTTAACATGATGACTTAATTCTACCGATAAAACAAATGTTATTTAATAAGCCCAAGAATGTTTAATTATAAAGATAACTGTGTATAAAAGGAATCAGCATGAATTTTTTTTTCATCCAGCCAATACACACCACAGGTTGAAGTAATAGCCTGTTTGTTGATTTTCGACCTCCTCTCTTATTTATTCTCGCTTTGAAGAACCAATTGATTTGATTCTCTCTGTTTGGAGGTTTATTTGGAAAACAAAATAAAATGATCTAATGGTAATTTCAATTCGTGTTTTATTAATACAAAAATAATATTACGACAAAGGGTTTGCATACAGTTCACAGCCAATGAAACACTCTCTTTCACAAATTTCAAAGTTAAAACAAACAATTAACCTAAGAAAACATTTAAGTACCTTTGAAAAAAATCATAATTTTACATATTAATAATTAAAAAATTATTGACATTTCAATAGCTTATAATACTTAATAAGTTTTGTTTGATTCTTTTCAGCAGGAGTAAAACTTTTAGATATTTTATTCATTCTTGTCGTGAAAAATTATATAATACAATAAACTATCAATTAGATAATACAAAAGATAAATTTGTTTTTAAATAAAAAATATTTTTTAAAATGTTTTAACAAATTTTTTTTAAGTCAATGCAGAGAATAAATTTTCAAAGATTGATATAGTTTTTTATTTCAATATTGCATTCTCGAATATTCTATAAACTTGTATAAATTAATTTTTCCGTAATTACAGGCTTTTGTGTACTCTAATAAATGAAAAGTTTACAGTTCTTTAAATTTACTTGACATTCTTTTAAACAATTATTCCAAAATGTATGTACAATAAATGTTTTAGCACCCTAGAAAAGGAATGTTTTTACTGATATATAATTAATTATTAATTGTCACTTTTCATCACTTAGTGCTACATTCACTCAAAGAAAAAAAATACACAATAAAAGTTATGAGCGTTATGCTGATAACGCTGTGCACGTTCACTTTTTCTTGTTTAGTTTATTTATGTATTTTGCTAGGCTTTCCGAATTAAACTTAAACTTTCACTCCGTTGGAAGAGTTGTATTCTTTGTTTCCATACTTAGTAAGTTCAATTCCATTTGTCTTTGGCTTTTTTGATATATTTGACTTTTCCGTCTGGAAATCGGATTGTATTTGGCCGAGGCTCTTTCCCGCCGTTTCCGGGATGACGAAACAGATGATGATAGTTCCTGTGAAGCCGAAAAGAGCGAATATCCAGAAATTCATATAAACGCCGCATAGATCCGTTATAGTTTGGAACTGTTTCAGATTGATAAAAGTCGCGACCGAGGCGGTTATTTCCGTGACGCCGCTGCCGACGGCGCGCGTGTGCGATGGGAAAAATTCAGCCTGTATCGTCTGCATCAGAGGTCCAAGGCCGACGTTCGAGACCATGCAGAAGCCTGCTACCCCCATGTACATGATCCAGTGGTACGCCGAAACGTCCACATTCGCGACCGTGATGAGATAGTAGTACGTGCCGACGACTATGTTGAAGAAGACCGATCCCAGGGTCGAAATAATGAGTAGAGGTCTTCGCCCCACAGAATCAGAAATGAATGCCGAAGAGAAAGTCGTCACGCAAAGCAGTACACCGAGAATTATGGTCAATTCGTGATGACTTAGTATTCCTATGGGTCCAGATGCGAAGGTCTGCGCCGCATAGGTGACAACAGCCGGCATCCCGTTGAGGTATTTGATCGCGCAGACGGTCTGAACGATAAAGAACGCCTTTCTGTCCTTTTTTGTAGCGATTAGGTCCTTCCAGCTTCCCTTCTGCTTCATATCTTCTTGGACGGAATACCTGATAGACTCGAACTCATCTTCTATATCGTCGGTTGCGCGCAACCAACGTACCGCCTTCGCCGCTTCGTTCGGTTTTTCGACCATAAACAAGTAGTAAGGGGATTCGGGCATGATTATAAACGTGGCGAAGAAAATCAAAGGTATGACTGCACAACAGTAGGTATAGTTTTGGTAGGAGAGATACGGTCCGGTCACGTAGGTAAAGAGAATTCCGACGTACCACATCGTCTGGAAGTGTCCGCTCAGCTCTCCTCGGATCCTAGGCTCGGAAATCTCCGCGATGTACATCGGCGCGACTGTATAGACCACTGCAACTGCGGCTCCTTGGATGATCCTGGCGACGAACAGGATCGAAAGGTCCCTTGTGGCCAGTATGAGGACCCAGGAGACGAGGCACATCGGTCCCGTGCTGAGCAACAACGGCTTTCTTCCCCATCTGCAAACAACGGTTCGATTAAACTCAGACCGCAAGGTTCATAAGAGGGCGGGAAAGATTGAACGTGGGCTCGTAAATATTTACAGGGTGACAAAACTCTCATCTACTCGGTCACCGCATAGGGGGAAAACACCGTACAAAAAAAGTTCAACATAACTTTGTCCAAGCTCAATAGACTTATCCGTCGCCCTATATTTTCTGGATCATTCAAGAAGAACATAATGAAGTTCATAAAACTATTTCCAATTCTATTAATTTTATCTTTCTATTAAAAAAATGAAGTGCAGTGCTAATTTGAAAGAAGGAAAAACCCTCAGTTCCTTCGTCTAGCTTACGAGGAACAATTTTTAATTTAGAAGTGTTTATATTTATTAACTAGGCAAATCATTAAAAACAGTTTTGAGGAAGTAGATATATTCTTAGACAGCTTAATGAGTTCTTCAGGGGTACTGTTTTGTTGTAAAGAACTTCAGTATACAAAATGTACATAAAACATTAAAAATTGGTGTCGATGTGATTATTAAACTGTTGAATGTTATTGATTCAATGACTATTGAAAAGCTAATTGTTCAAAAAATTGAATAAAAATAGTACTTAAAAAAAATAATATTATAAAAAACAAATGTAAATTTGATAAAATATTAATTATTGTATATCTGAAAGAAGGAGAGAGAGGTAGAGAAAGAGTGTGAATGAGAAGAGAGAAAGCGAGATTGAGAGAATGAGAGAAAGACAGAAAGAGGAAGAGAAATAGAGTGGGAGAGAGAGGGGAGAGAGAGAGAGAGAGAGAGAGAGAGAGAGAGAGAGAGAGAGAGAGAGAGAGAGACAGACAGACAGACAGAGACAGACAGACAGATAGAGATGTTTCCACTCGAAAACTCCAACAACAGCTCATACTACTAGTCTTGTTATAAAAAGAAAAGTAGAAAATTTAACACAGACAAATCCAACCACATTACCTTCACTCTCCGTAAAAAGATCTCCCTCCCTGTTTTCTTAATGACTGAATAACAAGAGAGAAAGCGAGATTGAGAGAATGAGAGAAAGACAGAAAGAGGAAGAGAAATAGAGTGGGAGAGAGAGGAGAGAGAGAGAGAGAGAGAGAGAGAGAGAGAGAGAGAGAGAGAGAGAGAGAGAGACAGACAGACAGACAGAGTCATTTCCACTCGAAAACTCCAACAACAGCTCATACTACTAGTCTTGTTATAAAAAGAAAAGTAGAAAATTTAACACAGACAAATCCAACCACATTACCTTCACTCTCCGTAAAAAGATCTCCCTCCCTGTTTTCTTAATGACTGAATAACAAGAGAGAAAGCGAGATTGAGAGAATGAGAGAAAGACAGAAAGAGGAAGAGAAATAGAGTGGGAGAGAGAGGAGAGAGAGAGAGAGAGAGAGAGAGAGAGACAGACAGACAGACAGACAGACAGAGACAGACAGACAGATAGAGATGGAATGAGAGAGGGTATAAAAGCAAGTGAAAGGGAGATAAAGTGGGAGAGGGAAAGAAAGACAGAAATAACAGGGGAGGGAGAGAGTATGAGAAAGGGAGTGAGTGAGAGAGATTGAGTAAGTGTGATGGAGGGAAGGAGAGGGACAGAAAAAGAGAATATAGGTATTTTATACTTTTTTCGTTGCACGAAAGCCCGACAAATTAATTTTAAGTATAAAAATACGGAAATATGCAGAGAGAGAATGGCCTTCGATGACTTGGAAGAATCGGTCAACTCTGCGGTATGAAATAGTAGGTGGATGGAAGGATGCCCTTGAGCAAGAAAAGCAGGTGCCGAACTCGTTCAAAAGCATGGCTTAAGTCAAGAAAAGCTCCAGAACAGTACTGTCCCCTCTCAAGGGAGGAGGAAATAATGTCTACCACGCGGTGGCACTGTTGGACAACTGAATGACGGTTGCGAAAACCAAACTGATGGTCTGGGATTATGTTTTGATAATTTAGAGTCGGAAGAATTGTTTTCAATAGTTGTTCTAAAATTTTATCCATAGTGGGTATTAATTTTATCCTTATTGGCTAGTATGGAGTAGTACAATCCATGCTGGTGTTCCTCAGGGTAGTGTTCTGGCCCCCAAACTATACCAAGTGTTCACAGCTGAGATGCCATGACATCCGGAAACCACCACATTCATATTTGCAGACGATACAGCAATTATCTGTAGCAACTCCGACATTGTCATTTTCACTCGAAATCTCCAACAACAGCTCATACTACTAGTCTTGTTATAAAAAGAAAAGTAGAAAATTTAACACAGACAAATCCAACCCACTCTCCGTAAAAAGATCTCCCTTCCTGTTTTCTTAAATAATATTCCACTCCCAACAGCGGACAAGGTGTGGTACCTCAGACTGTACATCGACAAACGCCTGTCGAGGAATCCTCACACACGACTGAAACGTCAGCTGGTTATGTCACGATAGTTCAGCCAAAAGTTCCAACATCTACCGCATTCAAACTGCCTAGTCCTTAATACTATGAAAAATACTAGATGCTCCATTTTATATATCGAACCTAATTACACATACAGTCTTACATTTCCCCTTCGTTCAAGATGAAATCCGTTCCCGTTACCGTAAATTTCATAAAAACCGCCCAAATACCGTAAATCAGGAGATCAGAAACCTTGCATTCCTGACGATCCTCTCAAACCCTCCCCCTCGACTGAAAAGACAATGGCCGCAAGATCTCCTAGGAAGGGATGTGATGACCCGATGTTCCATTTGTGTGAGAGCAAGCCTACCTAATTGCTCTTGTAAATTAACCATTGATTGCGTTTTTCTACGACCATTGTAGATTAGGGGCATTCACGATGTTTGTAAGATGTTAATTCGTGCTAACTCGAATAGAGAAATGTCCAGTAAGATCGTGAACGCTATCTTCTTATCCCAGCATGTTAAACGTTAGTTTTTCCGCACTGCTGAGCGTGGCGATTGGTAGAACCAAAAATAAAGCTATAACAGTCCTTGAAGGCTTGTTGTTGTTTGCTTTGGCTTCCGTTTGTGTTAAATTGTAAGATACCAAAAGTTAAGGAAAATTATTGAACTCTTTAATTCAAAATGCTATCTATGCACTCCAAAGTACTAACAAATGACACCTTCAATTCGTGCCGACATACCTAACTTGTATTCTAACGTCTAACAGCCTACAGCTTTATAGGATAGGGGATGTATCTATTATGACTGAGAGTATAAGGACAGGTCATAAATTAACAAAAGAAATAGTTTGGTCTGATTTAATTAATGCGTATTTAAGAATAAAAATACGTATAAACAAAAATAGCTGTTAAATTCATGGCGGCCATGTTGGTAACCTAGGCCCTAACGGATAGCAATATGACTAACATCTAACATTGGCCCTGGACTGCTAAATCGAGCAATGTTAATTAGCCGATTCTCAGATGTCTACGTTATCATTTTTCGTGATCTAACAGAACCTAACAGAGTCAACAGGGTTAACACAAAGATCGTGAATACCCCTATTACCTTGCTCATTGTTACTTGTTACCTACTTGAAGGTAGTTGTAATTTACTTCGAATTATAAAGATATAAAATAAAGTATAAAATTTTTTTTAAATTATTTAAATAAATGAAGTAAAAAAAATTATTTTAATAAATTTTGGAAAGAAATTTAAAAAAATTAATTCTCCCCGGCGGGGAATCGAACCCCGGTCTCCCGCGTGACAGGCGGGGATACTGACCACTATACTACCGAGGACCTGTCGTTAATGCCGTTCAAAACTACCTACCACTGTTTCTTTTGTATATATTTCTATTATATATTCAATTAACCAGATCGATTATTTTTTCTTTTATTAACAGTGATTAAAATTTCTTGGTTAACGATATTATATTTCAGTTGCCCCAACAAGCCCTAGTAAAAGACAGAACGCTTGTAGGAGTAAAAAACATATGGCTGAAGAGGTTTTTGGTTTTTAATGGGAAAAAAGGCAGTGGTGACTGGATTTAGCCCCAATTGAAGCGGAAGCGGGGTTGACAGTGTTTCAGTGCTTAATGAAGTGAAAATACAAGCCTAACGAGCCATCAATCAATTATTGACCTGGTCGAGCTTTCGTTTTACCAAATTCAACAATTTCAATTTTTCGTCCTTCGAATTTTATAGATTGTTTTTAACTGGGTAAATACGTTTGAAGTAGTTTTTCTAAGTATAAAAAATAATCTACATAGTAAATTAATCTTTGTTTTCAACTCGTTAAAAATTTCACTTGCTGTGATTGAATAGCGCGGACAAAATATTTCTAAATTTTGTAAAACGTAATAACAATTTATTTAATTAGCGTAATGCATAAGTGGGTATTAATTTTTTTCTTTTTTTTTGGCATTGACCTATTGTCCTCAGTCATGAGAATAATTGTTTAACTGGTCATTTACTGCAGTCACAAACGACAACCAGTTCGTTTTATAAAATCGAGAAGCCCGATAAAGAATGGAGTTTTCTTTATATATTAAAAATTTGTAATTATAAGGCTACGAAATTTTACATTGATCTATCGTATGGAAAAGTCTTTCCTTCATTTTCAAAATTTTTGCAGTACCATACGATATGTTCCGCGTTTTCAACTTTGTTGCACACCGTCCACAGGTCACTGTCTTCCTGTCCAATCATGTGTAGGTATGCTATAAACCGGGAACACACTTACCCGATGCAACGCTATCCGACGCTTTGTCACGTTTTGGTAGGATGTGCACATCTATGCGACGTCAAGCGCACGCAATGTACAGTCACACAGCGTGTATCAAAATAATCGCTGTCACAATCGCAACGCCTCTTTTGTTCTTAATGCGCTATTTTTAAATAAAGTCATTCCGGTGTTTTGATAAATTTTCTTCCTAATCATCATAATTAAATTATTTTTACAAAAATTTATGAATTTTTGATCTCGTTTAATTTGATTTAAATTAAAATAGGAATGTTGTAATTAATATAATGACAAAATTACATACACATAGTTTGAAATAAACTACAAAAAATATGAGTGTCCTGTTCTGACGCCACTCGACGAAAACGGTGTGATTTTATGAGCAAAACCATGAAATAAATTGTTAGTTAAATTTTATTAGCAAAACCGTGAAACAAATTGTTAGTTAAAATCATTATATCAAAAAATGGTATTCCGGTGTTTTGATCAATTTTCCACCAAACCATTAAAATTAATTAAAAAACTAATGAATTTTTGATCTCGGTTAATTTGGTTTATATTAAAATAAGTATGTTGTAATTAATATAACGACAATAATACATGTACATTTGAATAAAAGTATGAGTGTCCGGTTCTTTTGTCTTCGACCGTACTCGATGCAACCCGACGAAAATCTGGACAGTGGGGATCGCGTAGCGTAGAGTAGGGTAGCGTTGCGTGGCATCGGGTAGACGTGCACGGGAGTAATACAATCTTATGGAACATTGGACTTTGGATTTGCTTTGAGTTGCATCGGGTAGCGTCGCATAGCGTTGCATCGGGTAAGTGTGTTCCCCGCTATACAGATACTGTGGTTTGAACGTAGTCTGCCTATTGTGGTACTGCTGAAACGCTCAAACCTTCCTCTAGTGAACCAAGGTTGGCAACCCACCTTAGGAAAGATAGATTTATACCACTGTCCAGTGCTTGAAGATCATCTGTATCTATTCTGCCACGCTTCAATTGATCTTTTTTTATAACATTGATGGCATCGTAATGTGATATTTTAAATTCTCTATCTATTACTGTTTTTTTTTGTAGCTACCAGCTCATTAGCTTTCTCGTTTCCTATCAATGAACAGTGACCTCTTACCCATAAGAGTCTAATATGTTTACCTTTATTCCTGATCGTTTAATTTGTTAATAATTTTAATTTTCAATTCTGTACGGTAAGATTTAGTAAGGTTTGGAGTTCTAGTGAAGAGGTCTAATTAGAGAAAGGTTACGATGCATATTTACTGTTGGAACCGTCTGAGAAAATTGGGTATTAATTAAATTAACATCACAGAACAAGAAATTTATTGAAATGGACTGTATAGGAGTCACGATAGCTCAAGTGGGAGAGTAGCGGCGTATCAAGCCGAAGGTCGTGGGTTCGAATCCCGCTCATGACACTCACTTTTTTATCTCAATTGAAAGATATTAATTGGTCAAGCGGACCACAAAAACTAGTGAATTGGAAATTATGTTTAATTATTTTTTTAATAAGTAGATCATTGCAACTACCTTCAAGTAGGTAACATGTGACATTGATCAAGGTGCTACATACAAAACTGAAAGCAAGCGTGGAGAAAGTACTCATTGGTACCATGAATGTTAATAAATTAAATTTTAAAATTAATGTTTAATATCTCTCCGACATAAAAAATCATTATTATATTAAATATTTATAACAGAAATGTCTTTTACCAGCCTGTCTGATGACGACCGGGATTTTTCTACGGCCGGTTATTATGATCGTCAGTTTATTTTTGTTATTTTATGTTATTGATTTGTACGATTATAAGTTTTGTGAGAGGATGAGAGTTCACCCAACAGAACTCAAAGACTGGATTAACAAAATTTATTTTTAGCTGTATGTCAGGGCTTTTTCATGTATTTGGTTATAGGGATTAGTTTTCATCTTGGTTAGTCCGCCCACTCACTTGTCAGCCAGGATTCCGGCTGGGAGGGTGACGAGGACTTCGCCGAATTCTACGGAAGCGACAAGCCATGACGACTGGCTGGTGGTCATCGGGATTTCGCTCTCCGGCCCCAGCAGGCTGAGCATGAGAGGTTCTAGCCAGACGAAACAAATCGCCGTCATCGCCACGGACAGGCAACCTGAAACCGTTAAACAAATAAAATAAAATAAATTCACTCAGAAAAGCGACGAGGAAAGTTTCATCCTGCCACAATTTCAAAGTCGGGTCCACCTTCCCGACATTTTGGACTACAGGCCTTGAAGAGATGTTACGTGGTTACGTTAAAAAATCTTGGCATTTCATCAATCATCACATTGAGATATTCTTCGCATCAAACTATTTGCCAAGTTTTTACCAGCCTATGTGAAAACACATAATAGATATAACTTTATCTACATAAAGTTGCAATAAATTTCTACTAATAAATACAAAGATAACCAAGAATCCTTAAAGAATATTGGCGCACTGGACCTGTGTGATGACCTCAGGGATGACGCCCTCATCATGGCTTCGTAGATGCCGCTTCGTCCAAGCTCTGAGGCGAGGTCTCGGCCTCATCAGCAAAGGCTCGTCCCCCTTTCAGGTCGCGACATGAGGATGCTCTTGGCTGGGCCTAGGTTAATACAAGCTAGTACCGGAATCGTGAATTCAATGAGAGCCATAGGGATAAGTATAATAGAGGCGGCCACCTCGACCTGAATAGATATATTGTGCTCCCCTGTTATTTTATAACTAACTGACCAGCTTCAGGTTATTAATCAGACTCTAGCTTTGCCAGCGGCTCCTTAGTGTAGGATCTTGCTTGCGGCTTTTTTTGTCCTAATTGCAAGAACCTGCACCTACATAAGACTTCACAGAAACATAAAATGTGTTCGCTTTTTCCTGCTCTACCTGGCAATATCTGCACAGTGTTTCTTCTGTCTCCTTTTAGGAGTCCATCCAGAATCCTGGTACTGTTGCAGTTCCCTTCCAGTAATTGTAAGTATTGCAGATGGTCCTTCTATGAATCTCCTCGCGTGCCTCATACCTGTGGTTTTGGACTCCCAGGTATGGGAGTATGTATCCCTCTCAATATGGGCCTGGGCTCGGTTTAATAAAGTCTTTACTCGAGCTCTCAGTCATTCTAGGTGTTTATACCACCAGACTGCTTTATGTTTATTTAGCCTTCTTTTTTCCATGCAGTTTTTGGTGTAGAAGCTTAGTATGCCGTTAGTTACCTCCTGCACCGTAATTTTTGACCCTCCGTGTCTCTAAAATCCTTATTTACCCCTGTAGGGATTGTCGAAGAGCTCGTTTGTAACCTATCCAATTGGTGTTCCGAGGGTTCCTGTATGTTGTTTCTATGAGGGAGAGAGAGAGAGAGAGAGAGAGAGAGAGAGAGAGAGAGAGAATGAGAGAGAGAGAGTGAGAGAGAGAGAGAGAAATAGATAAAGAGAGAGAGAGTGTTCAAATCAAATCTGATGTCCTTGTGATTAGAGTTTGATAGTTCCCTGGATACATTTAACATACATTCATCAGCCACTTGGGAAGTAATTATCAAGACTAACACTTCTTGTCTACATCTGATGATGGAGGTAGGTTCTGTAATATGTTAGCAATATTTAACCCTTCACCAGTTAGGCAATATGATATGGACTCACCTCGGTTGTTAATGCCAATACTACCCCAATATGGGGGCATGTGCCTCACATTCCATATGGGAACCACCGGTAGAGTCAGAAATAGAGTTAGGTTTAGAGTCAGTGTCAGTTGAAATAGAATCAGAAGACGAAACCGTGAGTCAGAGTTAGAGTAGTGTCAGTTTAGATGGAAACAGATGCTACGATTGTTAGCCACATTTAGAGTGAGAACTAGAATTAGGTTTAGAGTCACTGTCAGTTGAATTGGAAGCAGATCTTGGGATCTTGAGTCAGAGGTTTAATCAGTGTCAGTTGAAATGGAATTAGATACTGATGCTCTGAGATAGAGTTAGAGTCAGTTTCTATTGAGACGTAGTTCGATGCTGACACCTTCATTCGGAGGCAGAGTTAGAATTAGATTCAGGTTAGAGTCAGTGTTCGGTGAAGTGGATCAGATGCTGAGACCAGAGTTCCAGTTAGAGCCATGGATGGAATTAGAGTCAGTTTGATTTGAGAAAAATAACCAAAACACTACATAAATCTATGCCATTGTCGAGAAGAACAGAAAAGCATAGTCATTGGAAAAATGTAACTTTCCCTGAAAGAAACGATTTTCGACTTAACCTTCATATTATACAATATATTATAAAATTAGTCTAAAAAAATTCACGGATTATTTTATCCATTACTATCACAAATTTGGTTAAGACTGATGTTGCGGATGATTTATAATCATTTTCCTGTTCAAAACTTGACGGCTTGAATAGGCTTGAACCTAGCTGTTATTTAAAGCTCTTCTTCGAGGCGTTTTGACCTAGGATTTGCAAGTCATTAGCCGGGACGGATTCAGGCAGTCGTTGGAAATGCGCCAGCGACCCTTGGAAAGTTATTATTCCCTTCCACCACTGTAAGAAGAAATTTCCCGGAGGAGATACTTCAGAAGTAAATAACAACCCTTTAAACATAAGGCCGGTTCTGAACTGAACGCCGTCCGAGTGGAATTCCCGGTCTCGAAAACGATTCGTTCAATTCGAAGACTTGTGACTGGAATTGAGTGTTAATTTTAAAGATGATATCGGTCGTTCTGTTGAACAAATAGTATTAATAAAATCGAGTAAAAGAGATATTTTAAGAAAAACCAGGACATAAGTTCTTGGAGAGTTGATATGTATTCAGTAGGAAAGTACAGCTTCTCCCCACGTCAATCATTATGAAGAAACCTGTAGCTAGTTAAGCAAGTAATTACACTTAATAAAACATAAATGTATAACTAAGGGGTGTGGGTGGCCGCAATGGTTACAGCTTTGACAAGCTCATCACAGTAAGGTCCCTGGAGATCCCCGAGGGTTGATTGAATTCTGACACAAACCCCCTTAAAAACGTGTTCTGCCATCATCCAAAATGCACTGAGCAGCACAAACTTCTCCGCCTGACCGTTCGATATTTTCAAGGACTACGTTAACTCAGCGTGAATTTCTATGTTCGAAGTGAAAGGACTTGCTCTTGTTAGACTTTTTGTAAATAGAACTCCAGCTACCACCAATGTAGGTAGAATTGAACGATGCCAACAAAATTAGGGATACTACACTTTCATCATTATCCAGCCATGTTTCCAAAAGTATTAAGAAATTTGATTTTAGCAAAACTCCATTTGATAAATCCTGTGCGTTTGCGCTTAGACTGTGAGGATTAACTGAAATAAACAAACCATTTTTTGTTATTGAAAAAATTCTTCAATGATGACCCGATGTTCCATTTGTGTGAGAGCAAGCCTACCTAATTGCTCTTGTAAATTAACCATTGATTGCGTTTTTCTACGACCATTGTAGATTAGGGGCATTCACGATGTTTGTAAGATGTTAATTCGTGTTAACTCGAATAGAGAAATGTCAGTAAGATCGTGAACGCTATCTTCTTTTCTTAGCATGGTAACCGTTAATTTTTCTGGAAGGCTGCGCGTGGCGATTGGGAGAACCAAAAATAAAGCTATAACAGTCCTTGAAGGCTTGTTAATGTTTGTTTTGGTTTTCTTTTGTGGTAAATTGTAAGATGCCAGAAGTTAATAAAAAAAGGACAATTAATCAACTCTTACATTCAAAATGCACTCGAAATATACACTCGAAAGTACTAACAAATGACACCTTCAATTCGTGCCGACATACCTAACTTGTATTCTAATGTCTAACAGCCTACAGCTTTATAGGATAGGGTATGTATCTATTATGATTAAGAGTACAAGGACAGGTCAAAAATTAACAAAAGAAATAGTTTGGTCTGAATTAATTAATGCGTATTTAAGAATAAAAATACGTATAAACAAAAAACAGCTGTTAAATTCTTGGCTGCCATATTGGTTACCTACGCCCTAACGGATAGTTTTCGACCTAACATCTAACGTTGGCTCTGGCCTGTTAGATCGAATAATGTTAGAACAAACTAGCCAATTCTTACAAGTCTATGTCATCATTTTTCTCGATCTAACACGACCTAACAGGGTTAGCACAAAGATCGTGAATACCCCTAGTATATGCTCGATAATCTCCCAGTGGCTCAGGTGGGGAAATTTGAGACACAAATTCTGCTCCTAATTACTGATTTCATCAATAATGATAACTTGAACATATTTAAAGAGTGTCCGACATTGTTGGGCTACCTCTAAAGATAAAAGAAATAATCTTGAATGATATATTTTCAAGCTGCTTTTCCTGTTGACGTACACGTTATATAGGCGTTACAATACAATGCGTCACTGTTTGTGAACCGATTGTAAATTTTCGCGAGATGACGAATAAAGAATGTCTTGCCAAAACCAGGCCGTCCAGTAAAAAACAATTGAAAAGGATTTCGGTCTTCAGACGTTAATTATTAATCAAATGCATCAATAGATCTTTCTGTTTTTATATTCATTTCACATTAAATTGTAAAATTATTAATTTAATTTGCATGATTTTTAGCAATCGTACCTAGTTTATGGAGTGTCATAATTTTAAGATCGTTATTCAATTCAGAGTTTTCGTCATGGCACAGTTTTTCAAATAGATCGGCTTCCGGATCGATTTGCTAATATACACTCCGTTCTGTCCGCAATGCCCACAAAACCCGACCACCTAGTTTTTGCAAAAATGGCCAAATTTGGAATTGCATATTTTTTCAGCATATGAAAGGTATGCAAAAAGCTTGCGCTAGGTCTCATTTTTTAGAATTTTTTACACTAAACAAGACCTTTTAAATATTTTTCATAGCTTCAGTCATTCATCAGTAAATTCAAAAATTCGGGAACATTTTAATTTTTACGAAAACTTCAAATTGATCTGTGGAGCCAGTAAATCGGCCTGGAGAGGCACGCTATAGCAATAGATTTTAATAAGCTTTCAGTTACCTTACATGTTGCCCGATTTCTCAGCCGTTTTCGAGTTATTTGCGATTTTTGGGGAAAAAACGTGTTTTTTTAACGTGGAGAAAACCGATCACTCTCTCCAGATTTTCACGAAGGAAAAAATTTGAAACGTCGTGTTTTCGT